CAATAGAACCACATTTCATCAATTCCCAATGCATGCCTGGCATATTAAAATCAACTGCAATAATGATTTTTCGATTTCGGTATTTTTGTAAGTGCTCGTACAGGTCTATCAAGAAAGCCGGTGGGGCGCCAGGGGGCCTATAGACTCCCGCAATAATAATAGGGTTACCAGCAATTACAGCTTTACAAAAAACACTTTCGTGGCAGCTATTAATATCAGGCAAGGAAACGGACGATATCTCGCGTTTAACAAGGATAGTAACTCCGCCCCCTCTTGTTTGACGATCTTTCCGATAACATGTGTATGAAGAAGGAAATATGCAATTATCTGGAATTTGAGGGTGCAACCATGTCTCCGATATTACTGCTACGTGTGGGTCGTAAAAAAGCAAAAGGTGCTCGAGTTGCTCTTGCTTGTTGCATACACTTTGAGCATTCAGGCACAGCAATCGGAGAGTCTTTTGCGCATGCTCAGTTTTATTTTGGGTTTGTCATTTTTCCGCGCGGGAAGACTTACGTAGAAACACCCTGTGACCAGCTGTGTCGTCCCACCCATAAACGTCATCGTTTAGAAACAACTTGTCTCATTAAGAAGCATCAAACAATAATCTCATTAAGAAGCATCAAAGCATGGAAGCCTCTAGTACAAAAGGCAAAATAGAGTTGGTAGAACTTTCGAAGTTGATTAATAAGCATAACGTATCCAATGTAAAGAGGTATAACATGAAGAAAATCGAACATGCTCTGAAGAACGGAGGAAGCGTCAAAGCAGTGAAGAGAAAATTAGGGATAGGCAAAAACCAGATGTATGCGCAATAAGAGACAAGGAAAGCAACGTAACTACCAATATGAGTAGGATAGTAAAATTAGCGGAAGAGTATTACAGATATCGTCACAGTAGCCAGCACAACCACGACCTTAATATAAGAACTAGCAGTAACACAGATGACACCGCACCAGTAATGATAGAAGAAGTCAGAAAAGCTTTGGAGAGGATGCAAAGAGGTAAAGCTGCTGGTTAGGATCAGATAACATCAGATTTGCTGAAAGATAGAGGACAGATTGTGTTAGAAAAACTAGCGACCCTGTTTACGAGGTGTCTCCTGACGGGAAGAGTACCAGAATCTTGGAAGAATCCGGGGTTAAGGATATCATAGTAGAAATCAAGAAAAGGAAATGGACATGGGCCGGGCATGTAGCAAGTAGACAGGATAACCGCCGGTCATTAAGGGTAACTAACTGGATTCCTAAAGAAGGCAAGCGGGTCAGGGGGAGGCAGAAGGTTAGGTGGGCACATGAGATTAAGAAGTTTGCGGGTATAAATTGGCAGCAGCAAGCACAGGACCGAGTTGACTGGTGGAACATGGGAGAGGCCTTTGTCCTGCGTTGGATGTAGTCACGCTGATGATGATGATGACATTTCATATACGTGAATGACTGTAGCAGCGACGACAGCAAAAAGAAGCTGAGACTGTCCTTATAAATGCTATCGCAATAAAACAGTGCTGAAATAGCTGGAAGGATGGCCCAAACAAAATGCTCTTCTTCGTCCTCTTTCAGCACTCTTTCTCCATTCAAAATCAGTATGTACCAACCAGCCGAACGCAAGATGCTAATAGCAACGTATTGTTAGAGCACAGGCATGTGTTTTCCCAAAGTGAACTTACAACATGTTGTCATTATGTGCATGCCATAACCAGCGATCACTGGCACATTTTTCCTGACTGTACTTTCTTGAACTCCATCGTTCTCGTCAGCTTAACTATACGTTGATGAGTCATAGATGTAAAATCCGATGTTTACTATATTATTATCAAAGTATTTGGTAACTTCAATTAGTGTCACGCCAACAAGGTACATAGAGTCTTCTTTAAAGCAAGCTCTCGGGTAAAATACTTGAATGCCATGGTGGGATTTTCAGGTTCGATCCCTGCTGGAATAGTAATTCGTGTAGTTTGCATTGAGCAGAATTTATTGCTCACCAAAAGTGGCGTCAATTCAGCTCTGAGTATTCTGTGACATGGGCTCCTTAATTCTATCATATTAAGATTTAAAAAGTCGATTTTCGTTTTTTCAGTGTTGATTCAGACAGTGAATCACTCCCAGTGTGTTGAAGGCGGGTATACACCACATTTGTCTGAGGGAAGGGTTTTCTGATTGAAGTGACAGGCACATTGCATTATTCATGTGATGACCTATGGGTTAAGTTTTGATACAGTGATACTCTTTTATGCTAATTTTTTGCTATGTTCTGAGCTAAATAAGTGCCCGCAAGGGCTCCCAGACATATGTGGCTAAACAAAAGGAAGACCGGGCAGGGCAGGCGAAAAAAGATGAAGAAATGGTGAACGTGCCTATGGTTCGAATTCCAAGGAGTATGCACTGTGGTGTCTTCCAGACAGCTATAGACAACACCCGGAGCGCCCAGTGGCACTGAGTCAGCTGCCATTTTGCATGAACACTAGCTAAGCTAGTGGGCCGACAGTTAGTCGTGCCTTCCCACATTGCTTCCATCAGTGGCCACTGTGTTGGATTCGAGGCTTTTTGCTATGGTTCGGTGAGTTGCTGCTCATATTGCTCACGTAATAAATAAGTGTTGAAGTTTTAGATCCCAAAAGCATGACATCATTATGAGATGCAGTAGTTGAGTGCACTCAAAATAGTTACTACCTGGAGCTCTTCAATGCACCCTCAAGTCTAAACACACGGGCCTCCAGCATTTTGCCTCCATCAGAATACGGCCACTACAGGCGGTATACAGCGCACGTACATGTGCGCATACTATTTTGCAGAATGAGCATAAAAATAAAAATAGTTCCAAGCAGTACCACAAAACTACAAAGGGAACCCTTGTGGGTTCTGAAGAAAGTGCCACAGTAGAGCTTTCTTTCTTTGTGTAGAACAGTATATAAAACAAGCCTTGGCTCACAAGTGAAACTTTACATTACTGCTCAAAAACAGTCACTGTACGAGTTGAACTAGCTATAAGTTAGCTTCATGCTATATTTGGATGAATTCAAAAAAAAGAAAAAGGAATGGGAAATTTGAGGACTCATGTTTCTTTGTTAGGCACAATATAGTTTAACAGATTTGCAGCACTAATAATGAGGCATAAGAGACACTGATGCCAAGACGTATAGGGGATGTTATTAGTAGTAATTAAAATGTAAATGTCAAGGAAGAGAAGTTATTGATCAGCTGCCAGCTAATAATAAGATCACATGTTATGTAACGCCAGTAGGTCAAAAAAGGTTTTCTACTCTCGCCGTCATGGCTACTAGTGACGCTGACTGACACTACCAAGTTTAAATGCAATTATAAACTCAATAAAAGTGGACCGAGGGAAGACGACAGGTGTAGCTCATTTGGGCGAGTATCAGAGGTGTTATTCAATGGTCCATGCCAGCAGCAAAGTATCTTTTTGTCCCCTTTTCTTTCTGCACATTTATGTTATATTGTCACGGGGTTATGACGTGGTCGAAGACAGGAGACTTCGTGTTGGGATTTAACTGTTTATTTGGGCGAACCTGTGCCCGGTAAAAGGAAAGTCCAATTACAGCAGCAGTCTCGCACAGATAGCAGTCTCGGACTGATAGCGGCGAACAGAGCGTCGGCCTTCGATCAACAACTACCGACAAGTGGCGAAGCGCGTCGGCATTTATACTCTTGCCATCGAATATTCTAGCGTTATCGCTGGCGGTGGCGTAGGTTCCAGAACAATCTGTACCGTTCGCACAGTGGGCGTGATCTTATCGAAATGATCTACTACAGTCCGGAACCTTCTGGAAAACTGCAGGCGCGGTTTGCGCTGAGAATCGTGTGGTGTTTTGGGACGATAACGAAAACTTGGGAAATGGAACGTGGCATTGCCCCCCTCTGAAAAAAAGGCATCGTCCCGATGCTTTAACTAAAGATGAAGGTACAATAATAATGCAAGAAAGTACAATGAATAAATTACGATGAAACAGTAATACAAAAAAAAACACTGTTTCAGTTTGTTAACGCGCATGAAACGGCTTGAGGCGCGCGACATGCACGACTTCAGGTCGCGATCGGCGTCGTTGAGAGTTCGTGATGCCGTCGGAGACAACCTCGTAATCAAGTGGGCCGAGACGTCGAACCACCCTGTACGGTCCGAAGTAGGGTCGCAGAAGCTTTTCACTTAGTCCACGTCGGCGTATCGGCGTCCACACCCAAACACGTTCACCGGGCTGGTATTCCACGAAGCGTCGTCGAAGGTTGTAACGGTGGCTGTCTATCGTCTGTTGATTCTTGATACGGAGACGCGCAAGTTGTCGGGCTTCTTCGGCACGTTGAAGGTACTCGCTCACATCGAGGCTTTCTTCGTCGGTGACGTAGGGTAACATGGCATCGAGCGTCGTTGCCGGGCTCCTTCCGTATACATCGAAGAAATTCGCATGCATCCTGAGGTTCCAGAACAATCTGTACCGTTAGCACAGTGGGCGTGATCTTATCGAAATGATCTACTACAGTCCGGAACCTTCTGGAAAACTGCAGGCGCGGTTTGCGCTGAGAATCGTGTGGTGTTTTGGAACGATAACGAAAACTTGGGAAATGGAACGTGGCAATATTTACTAATGATAACATCACCTATACGTCCATTAGTGCCATTGCCTGTTAGTTCTAATTAGTTTGGGTCAATTGTTATTTTTTCTTACATGACACTCTTTGCAGAGATCTGTGAAGCTTCAGGGTCTGTAATATATGTCGCCCCGTCGCAGTTGCCTAGTAGCTAAGGTACTCGGATGCTGACCCGCAGGTCGCGAGATCTGATCCCGGCTGCGATGGCTGCATTTTCAATGGAGATGAAAATGCTGTAGGCCAGTGTGCTCAGATTTGTGTGCACGTCAGAGAACCCCAGGTGGTATTCTGGAGATCTCCACTACGGCGTCCCTCATAATCATATGGTGGTTTTGTGACGTTAAACCCCACATATCTATCTAACATATGTCATCACCACAAGATCATCTTCTCTTCCAGGCCTCCAAACTAGAGAAGCAGCTGAGTCTTGTGTTGCACTCTGAGACCACCCTCAAGCACAGTCTCAAGAGGAGCGAGGCTGAATTAAAAACCATGAAGGAAGGTGAGGTACCTATAGGATAGGCTGTGTCATGTATCATGTAGCCTACTGCCACTTGTATTGTAAAAAGTAGTAGTACTTTTGTAGGTGGGTACGTAATCTACCATGAGGTCCAGGACAGTCCTATTGCAAAAAACAGCATCTCCAGCGCGATTCTGTTTTTATAAAATTTTCCACAATCCACAACTTAAAGACCTTTTTCCAAACCACACTACATATAGATGCGACCATCCCCACAAAGTACACATTCCTTTTTCAGATACCAAGTTCTTTCACGATTCCTTTATTCCCACTACCTCGAACAAATGGAACCACCTACCCTTCTCCATTGCCCAATTGACCGATGTCACTGCTTTTAGGGCTGCGGTTGAATGCGATGTTTACTCTTAGCAGCATTTTTCTTTGTTCACTCTTATTTTTCTTAATATGTATACTCTTACCCACTCCCTTTTGTAATGCCTTCGAGCCCTAAAGGTACTGAAATAAATAAAGAAATAAATAGATACCAGTACGTTTTTCGGCACTGGCCACGCTGGCAGACACTGGCACATGCTGGTATTTACTGGTACTTCACTGGGCGCATGAGTAATAGCTGGGTCGCACTGGTAGGAGTGCTGGATTGATCGCTGTGGTGCTGGTGCACACTGGGAAGCTGTGAAATTTTCACTGGAGTGCACAAGCGCATACTGGAGCATGCACTGTTTCCACCAGCGCAGTGTGCACGTTTATGTAGCATGTGCAGTGGTTTGTTTCGGTATTGTAGAATATAAAATGCTTGGTGTCACAGCATGAATAGATGATACCCTATTAGATCCCGAGAATGCATCACAATTCCATTGATCCTAATCTGTGATATGCTGAATCACAGGCATTTGTAATGTTTTTAACTGGGATAAGGAAAAAAACTATGGGCAATCTCCTTGAAGGGAATTCCTACGAAGCAGCAGTGGTGTGTATGGCATTGACACGGGTAAACGGGCATCGAGGTCAGTGCTGGAAGAACTGTTTGAAGCGAAACTTGGTATAGCATTTACTGGAGTGAACGTTTGTTTGAAACACAGACGCAGGAGGCGGGACGCTTCTTTGGGAGCTTCTTTCACTCACGTCTTGTTGGTGTTACCCGTGCGCCGTCTGTGTTCTCGAACGGGATCGGTGTTCTTGACTCGCACCTTGTCAGTGTTGCTGGTCTTCCAGTGCCGACGCTTGCGTTCGACTTCCCTGGCTTGTGCCTCATCGTTGTTGACGTCGCCATTCGCGAACGCAATCGGCTTCGCTAACCTTTGCAACGCTGGTGCCAGCCGGGAAAGGCACGCGCACACTAGCGAGAAGCTTGCCGCGATGGCGGTTTCGCCCGTCGGCGCAATCGCGTGACAACATGTAGCACACTGTCCACATTGTCAGCGTCGCACGCACACCTGCCGGCTCGTGGTTTCTCGCCAACAGATGGAGAGAGGTGGCGCGGGTGAAATGATGCCCACGTGAGGAGTGAGCTCGAGTGTTGCAAGTGGTGGAGAGGTTGAAGTGAGAGAGAGCTGACATGCGGCGAGTGCATGGCAGGTGAGGGAGAGAGAAGTCACCACGCACTGCTAGGAGGGCGTGAGCTACTTGGCTCCGCTCCAACACCTGCGGCGAGGGGAGCGGTGCAAATGGAGGGACAGCAATACACAGGCTAGGCAAAGAGATGCTTCGCATCTGAAATGCGTTCATAACTTAAAGGAGGCAACACTCAAAATTTTGCTTACTAACTAGCATGCTTTATTTTTATAATTCGTGCAGTGTCAATACAGCGTGTTCTTGCGATGCACGTGTGTTGCAGCAATTAATGCAGATTTTGGCATGTCCCCCTGGGTATTGCATATACCGATTTTGCATCAGTGATGTATTGTTGTACCGAGTCTGTGTTGCAGTGTTTATAATCTAGGAGCTAGTCACCACTCCTAACAGAAACAGCAAATAATTTACGCTGCAGAGTTGATGAGACAAGAATGAGCTCTCCCGACGCTTCACGAGCTTTGCCAGCAGAGGCGAGAAAATCTTCTGTCATTGAATATTGCCACACCATAAATACTTTACTTATAATGCTTGTCTTACTTCTTACTTCACGTAACATTTAGAAATGTTCTGAAGCTCAAGTGCAGAAACTTCAAGCATCGTAACTGAGCTGCTTGGAGAGCGGTCTTATTCAGTGCCCTGTCAATGAGCATTAGACTTAACCTGCTGGCTGCATCGGTGTACATGTTACTGGCGCTTCTTGCTCTAAGTACACACAATTCTGGAGTGTAAGAATGACTTCAATGTACCGTTCAGACATCCATCAACCTAAATCATCAAGTTTTGCTCGTGTGCAGTGCCCGCACAAGGAGCAACGACAATCGATGCGTCTTGCTTTCAGCAATGCAGGCTGTTACCGAAAACTGCTGGCCACTGTACTAAACGGTACTTCTCCGACTCATATGTAAGAACATGCAATTTTTTAATGGTTTTTAATATTGTCGATTTTTGCTCAGTTATAATTTTGCCCATATGTTTACTGCTGCTGTTGTCTATCTCGTGTCTGGCGGTGGAAACTAATACAGCTGACATTGCTCTTTCACAGTGAACGATGGTGGTAGCAGGGGTTAGAAGAGGAAATAGACGCCTAATTTCTTCAGCCCGGTAGGGAGCACGACACAGCGCCTACACACAATGCCATAGCGAATTACACACACAACCACAGCGAACGACATGGAACAAAGCCACAATCTCTGCCGTCCTAGCGTAGAGCTGAAGGGGAGAAGGAGGTCAAACGCATGGGCGGGTCAGCGAGTTCTACAGGAGAGGAGAGGCCGGCTGATGCGCAACCTCGCGCAAGTTGCTGCGTGGGCAAGTTCATTAGTTTCTGAGGAAAGGGGAGGAAAGGAGACTCACACCCATGCGCCTGTTGCCAGGTCGCTTCTTGCGAGCGCAAGGCGCGAGTTTTGAATAATCGCAGCTTTGATAAGACGTGAACCATCGCAGGCTATAAGATATTGAATTGACGTATGCCAAAATAATCAGTAAATGCTCATGGTCGACAAAGGATGGTTCGTTATATCTATTGTGAAGAACTTTTTGCTTCGTTAAAATGAAGTTTTAAATACCTGAGCCTCTATGGGACTTTTAAGGGGAATTACAATTGCTTCATTATATCCATTAGTTCTTTATATCCCACTTCGTTATAACGAGGTTACACTGTAGACCTGTAGTGGGTACGGCAAATAGATTCTAGACAAGGGCAAACAGCAAGAGGTTAGTGTGAACGATGGAGAACCTTAAAGTGATGGATTTCATCGAAATATATAAAGAACTTGGCCTTACTCTGTGCTGTGGGAAACGAAAACAAGCGATCTGTGAGATCATGAAGAAGGAGGCATAAATGGCGGAAGAAGTCAATGAGGCCTGGGCGAATAACAAAGCGTACTTTGTTATTCGCAAGGAAGTTCTCTTGAAACGTTATAAGTTGTCACCCGAGGCTTTTTGGCAATGGTTTCGGTAGGCAAAAAAGGACAATAAGTCGCACGTTTACTTTGTGTTTCATCTTAAAGCTCATTTAATTCAATGGCTCAAGGGGGAAGAGGTTTAGGACAATCGCGATAAGGTGGTAGAATGCATTGCATTGGAAAAATTCTACCGCTGCAACGAAGATGATGTCAGGCTTTGGCTGCTGGACAATCTTGGGCTAGTACAGCTAAACAAGGCAGCAGAGTTATCTGAGGAGTACTATACTCGCGGAAACTTGCATAGGTGGGCTGTGCACGTGGAAAAGGGTAAAATAAAAAAGGGCTTTTCAAAGAAACCTGACGATCAGAAACCAACTCCACACTGTAGGTTCAGAAAGGATTTGTCTTTTACAAAGGATACTGTAGGGGACGGGCAAACGAAACCGCAATAATCAAGTGAGGTTCCTAAACAGCGCATTGATACCACACAAGTGTTCGAGTCACGGAAGCTGCTAATCTGCTATAACTGCAAAAGTGAAGGGCACATCACGTTAAATTGTGAACAAAAGTTTACTTTCGCATTAATCTGAGAGTCTCGAAAAAACCCATGCAGTTCTTATAGCCGTATTTCCAGGAAATTAGTGTCAATGGGAAAACGAGAGGTAGGGAAAAGAAACAAGTCATATTTTCTTGTTACAATCTATCATTTATGTTCGTCATTCAGTAACTTCCCGCTATACCAATTTTGGTGTATATCAAAATAGTGAACCTGCCACTAGTGCCCCATAAGCATTGCATGTGAATCATGCCTTCATCATCATCATCAGCCTGACTACGTCCACTGCAGGACAAAGGCCTCTCCCATGTTCCGCCAGTTAACCCGGTCCTGTGCTTGCTGCTGCCAATTTATACCCGCAAACTTCTTAATCTCATCTGCCCACCTAACCTTCTGTCTCCCCCTAACCCGCTTCCCTTCTCTGGGAATCCAGTCAATTACCCTTAATGACCAGCGGTTATCCTGTCTACGCGCTACATGCCCTGCCCATGTCCATTTCTTCTTCTTGATTTCAGCTATGATATCCTTAACCCCCGTTTGTTCCCTAATCCACTCTGCTCTCTTCTTGTCTCTTAAGGTTACACCTACCATTTTTCTTTCCATTGCTCGCTGCGTCATCCTCAATTTAAGCTGAACCCTCTTTGTAAGTCTCCAGGTTTCTGCTCCGTAGCTAAGTACCGGCAAGATACAGCTGTTATATACCTTCCTCTTGAGGGATAGTGGCAAACTACCTGTCGTAATTTGAGAGTGCTTGCCGAATGTGCTCCACCCCATTCTTATTCTTCTAGTTACTTCAATCTCGTGGTTCGGCTCTGCGGTTATTACCTGCCCTAAGTAGACATAGTCTTTTACAACTTCAAGTGCACTATTACCTATCTCGAAGTGCTGCTCCTTGCCGAGGTTGTTGTACATTACTTTCGTTTTCTGCAGATTAATTTTAAGACCCACCTTTCTGCTCTCCTTGTCTAACTCCGTAATCATGAGTTGCA